GCTGCTTCAGCACTAACTGCGGTTACTGAAACCACGCGTTCTTTCTTTGCGTGAACATTTGGGTGGCATTATGCAAATATTTCCATATAGTGTGGTAGATATGTGGGGGCGTGTTAGAATGAGCCGTTTTAGGGGGGCGTGGCAGAGTCTTAACTTTGATAAAGAATATCTCTTTGGTTTTGAGACTTTAGTCTTTGCAACTTCAGGGATCTTATCTATGCACAATCAGCTTGTAACACTCCAAAGAGAAAGGAAAACTTGAAATCGCATCATATGACCCCTTTAAGCTTACTATGCGTTTGGAAAACTAGTCCTGGCTCTTTCACTGGTCTTGTCCCAGTGTGGCCACTAGAGGGCGCAACGTCACCATCCACACAAAACCACACTCACGAGAACCATTCAAATTTGCAGGTTAAACTTTAGCTAGATACAGTGCAAGCTTCTCCACGACGCCACAGATTATCACGAAACTTACAGTGATTTTAAAAATCTAATACTTAATATACTGTAAAGTAAAACATACAGTGATTAGGCTATAAAAAAACAAATACTAACTATACTGTAAATTAAAACTTACAGAGATTATACTCTGTGCTGACAATGTTCATTTTCTGTTAAGTCTAAAGAGCAACAGAATGTCTTGATAATCATATTAATACAATGCATTAATTAGCATGCTGTCAAAATTATATCTTTCAAATCATACCTAAAACAGCAACCAAATATGGGGTAAATACTGTAGCTGAGAAAATATTAACTGATGCAAATGCAAATATTGAGATTTATTTATTTGGTAGATGCATTGCATTACATCACACAGCCTCGTCATACATGATGCTGCATTTCTTTACAGTAGCGATTTGACCGTGAGAGACATCTAGACACTTAAAAATGATTCGTTTTTTTATAATATTATTTTTCTAAGCTTTTCCACATACTGAATTCTTGCCTGTTCCTGATTGCCATACTTATAGCAGCTCATTGTGGGGGTATGTTTGATAGAGGCAGGAGGGTTTGTTGGCTTTGTTGCCATAGATACAGAGAGTTGCTAGGCAGCAGACAGGATGCTATGGAAGCCAAGTGCAGCAGATCAGCGGGTCACTGCAGAGAGGAAAATTTTCACCCACACACCTTTCATCTGGATTAATACATTCAGAAATAAAGGAAAAGAGAGAATAAGGCAGATAGAGAGCGAAGCATGGAGAGAAAGAAGCAAGTGTGCATCTGCACGTGCATCTGTGTGTCGAAGAAAGAGTGAGAGAGGGGGAAAAAAAGAGAAGGAAATGAGAAGAGAATCCATCTGTAAAGTGTCATTTCCAGCTCTTCTCAGCTCTGAAAGCAGCTGTTTTGAAACACGTGTTTGAGCACGCAGGTACCGCAGCCTCATGATGACTATTAAACAATGAAACATCACCTGTGCTGAATATTAAACTAATTTAAAGTTTAACACCTTTTATAAAGTACACACTGATCCAGAATCACAATGCATAGCATAACGTTTTGTTATGCACACCAAAGATGAATAAGATGTAATATGACATCTTTTTCCTCGCTCATAACTGCTCCAAGATCAGAGGGCTTGTCTGAATCATCTCTGTCATTGCAGCTCCACTTTCATGATTGTTTTTGCCTGCAGTGAAGGTTTCGTGGCTGAATGGCATTCTGTTGAGTGCGCAGGCTGAGTGTAGGAAGCGAGTGATCTGAGAGAGGGCAACAGGGTGTCCATCTGTTTGTATAAATGCTCTTCCACAAAACCCCAGTGCATAAGCTCCTTACATAAGGAATAAAACAGAGTAATCTCTCTCCTCCACAGGTAGGCCTATATGCAATGGGCTACATTCCTGTTGCGTCTTTTAAGTAAATCCGTTTTTTTCTTTATAATTTAGTTAAAAGCAACACATTGTTTTTCATTTATTGATGACGTTTGCAACTCATCCGAGTGACTTATTAAATATGAAATAGCTGCTTTTGACTAAATTCAAAAACTAAACTAAACTAAAATGAAAGTAAACTTCAATAAAGACAATTTACACATTGCTCGATGATTTATGTGATAATCTCCTCAAGAGTATTTTGGTTGTATGTATTGCATCTCAAATAAAACGCAGACTTAAGGAGTTTTGTTTTCGAGTTCTGTGACTTTAAGTGGTCCTCCATCGCAGTGACGCACGCAGCTCTGATCCGAGTATATGTTGCAAGTGCATTCTCATTATTCAATCCTTTGAATAAGACTTCGGCCTTGTTTTTTTGTTCTCGTGTTATTTCAAAACCCGTGGCGCGGATTTCCAGATTGATCAATTAAACTGTTTCCGTTTCAGCTGCCTTCAAACTTACTGCACTCTGACATTTTCATTTTTCTCTGTCTGCATCACCACCATTCCCTCTGTAAACACTATATTCCTCCACGAAAAGTAGGGCTTTCCATGCTTTTATTGGCTTGAGCAAAAATGTCTCTCTCCTGGAACCACTAAATCAGCCAGGTCAAATACTGTATTTAATATTTTGACCAAAATAGGCTGTTCTTTATACTTAATATTTCCTCGTGGTTAAGCGACTTACGAATAAAAGACATGAATGCAATTCTACTTATGATTGATTGACGTATTATGTGCTTTGAAAAAATGTACTTGCTGACGTATCCTACTGAACCGTGCACATCTGATATGATAAATAATAAAAACGTTTTTATTATAGCGCACCAGTACAATACAACACCATGCTTGAAGGTTATTTTCAGGACATTTATATATTAAAAGTATTTCAAATATATAATGCAATTACGTGTAATTATTACATTCCAGTTCTCACATGTAAACACAGAGAGGAATTTTAGAGGATCTTTTCATTAAAGATGGGGAGGCGGATGAATACATAAACCGCTTCAGCGTGATCTCTTCCTATTGCACATTAGCCCCGCCCACAATTCTGCTTCCACGACCATACTTTAACTCGATTGGACGAAACACGCAAAACTCATCTCTGATTGGCCACATTATCTGTCAATCATAATGCATTGCCAGTCATGGTGGATAGGACACTTTGTACATGGAGGTTTTTGATTGTACTGGCTAAATAATAACCCTGAACAGGAGTTAAGGATTTCACATATTATTATTGATATCTTCTCGGTGTTTTTTATATTCTTGCCTGGTTTGATCTATATTACACTTCTTTCACGTATCGGGCCGTAAGAAACCTGGTGTTTATCGCACAGATGTGGATCTTGTAGCTGCTCCGGGTAAGTCGTTCGTCCAGTCTAGCTGAAGCTCTTACAGTGCCGAATTATTGCCGTCACCTCTCTGAATTTATTTGTAAAAATATCAAAATTAAGGCTCGTTCGCGTCAATGGGCAAACATACACTGGTTATTTGTTGTATGCGTCTTTTTATTGCATCAAAGGAGGAAGAGTCGCGACTGAAATCGAAGCTAGTGAGATAAGGAGGTTCAGACTAGACTTTTAATAACCAATTGGTGACAAGGGCATAAGATATAACCCATGGCAATTACGGTACTTTTTAAACAATTATATACCTTAAAGTTAGTGTATTATTATAAATCGTGACTTACTGGGCCGAACGCTGTTCATTGTTGTGGTGCTTCTGACGAGCTGTCAGATTTAGTCGCTGTCTTTGAAATGTCAACATGATTTTGATGCAGTCACACACATTTCGGCTCACTGCGTAGTGCGCTACAGGATAGCATGTGTTATGAGGTATAACATGTTATGTGTTAATTACTGATTCTGTGTATTTTGAGGGGTGTTTGTGTGGAGTAGTCTAAATTTTATAGCACTCAAGCCACTTACAAATCAAGTTTGGTTGATCCTGCTGACGGACTCTAAACAAAAGTTTGGTTTAACCTACGCAGTACTGCGACACCACCCGCTCTCTTTCTGTTATACAATAACAACGTGTGTTTTTGGTGTATTCGTACTCTTAAAAAGTTTATTTGTGAACATTTGCTGGCTCTAAAGTAAACTTGTGATGCCAAGGACGATGATGATCCCCCTTGCAAAGAAACCCTCTTCCTGAGATATAAATAAAAATAATATTTATGATATTATGAATACAAGTAACTGTTAAATTAAATAATTTGTCAAACAAAATAATTGCCTTTTATTGTAATAATAATTTTAGCAGTGTGCTAAAGCCAAAATAAATTGTTCAGTATTATTATAAAAATATTTCCTGTGCTTTGTTTTATTTTTTTCTATAAAATTAAAATTGTGTCATTAATAGGAATCAATAATGAAATATTCATTATTGACCTTATGATATAATGTCATATAATGGCAATTTTGGTACATATAACAACAATAATAATAATTTATTGCATTTTTTGGGTCATTGAAACGTTCCCATCTGGCCTCCTGGAGGTCCCCGGAGCCCAGTTTGGAAACCCCTGTCCTAAGGCATTCAGAGAAGAAATGTCATTTTAACAAGTTGTAAAAGTGTAACTTCAGTCTCTCATAAATATGTTAGTTTGAAGTTTCCACAGGCCGAATTGTAAGTGTGAAGCGTGTCTGTCCTAGATGCTTTGCTGTGTAGTGTGTGTGTGTACAAAGCTTTTGATTGGTGGCTTCAGAATTCCAGCTCTCATTATAGGCTGAATCTCATAATGAGCTGAATGTCTAGGTCATGCAGACAGGTACTGTGCTGTCGTGATTCCCAGCAGGGTGTCAGCTCAACCTCCAGAGACTCAATGCTGTTATGTCCTCCCACCCGGGGTACCAATAACAGTCAGAGAGAAAAGATTATTTCACGCGTTACAAACCTACCACTGCTGTTTTGAAATGCTTCAAAAAAGTTTTCAGAAAAATAACAAGCATCCAGCGAACAATCACGGTCGTTTTGTGAAAAGGCGCTGTTTGCTAATGAGAAGTTTGTTGCATGGAAATGATTAAGCGGATGCAGTTCAGAAAACGTTTTTGTTGTGATGGAACATGAAACCCATTTAAGCAGGTCAGGATGATGCAAAACATGACAGAACAAAAGTAGTGTTGTGTCTTCATCCTGATCATCTATAGTGATGTTTTCATCACCATGAAGTCAAAATAATGACTGTTCATCCTGGGTTTCTTATCTGGTTTTCCACATAAACAAATTTATGACCATGCTACCACTGTTTTTATTAGATGTCTATCTGGCTGTCTTGTATTTGATGTGTGTATTTTATTACATGTGCTCTCGCATGTGTCAAAGGTCCTCTGCTGCTTGTAAAGCAGGTCTTCACTTTGTTCTCATTGTGAAATTTGTGAAATATCCTCTGGTCACATGTTTAATCCATTTTTCGATGTCATTTCCACAATGTCTCTGGCCTTTAGTGTCTCCCTGAAAGTGTTTGACAAAAATGCTTGCTGTGGACTTTACCCAGACATCCAGCTGTGGTCCACAGTTTTTTATTTTTTTTGTCAAATACTGGTGAGTTTAAAGGAATAGCTCACATAAAATGTCTGTCATTTACTCCCCCTCATGTTGTTCCAAACCTTTATGACTTTCTTTCTTTTGTGGAATACAAATGAAGATACAAAAACAACACTGGACCCCATTGACTTTAACTGTATAGAGAAAAAAAAACACAACACTGGCACATCAAATGTATCGTCTTTGGTGTTATGAACATCATACAAGTTTGGAACGACATGAAAGAGTGTAAATGGTGACAGTTATTACAAAAACACTTTCTGCACTCAATAATCATTTTGTCCTTGATCAGTGGCATCTGAAATTGGCCAACATCTGATTGGAAACGAATCTACTTTAAGGTCATAGCACTGCTGATTAAATTATGTTTTATGGGGAGGAGCCTTCCCTGCCCTTTCCAATTCAAAATGGCCTCAGTGTCCTTATTGGCTGTGCGGTTGGTGGAGTAGGGCACGCTGAAGGGCAGAAGCTCCTCCGAGAGAGCACAGCCCTCCTTCCCCGTGTTAATCTCTCCTCCAGCAAGCTCTTAATTGAGCCGTCATCAGCTGATCTAGGGGTTAAACATCAATTAAGGTAATGAGCAGTGTGAAAAGAGACCACTGAAGATGAGGGCAACCCTTTTCTGCTGGAGATGAGATGAGATTGGCAGGGCTTTAGGGGTT